ATTTTGTTCTGAGGCGCTCGAATATTTGTTCAATGCTTTTACCGTATCGTATTTTTTAAATCTTTATAATTTTATCTATTTTTTCATCTATTTTACAGTTCACAAAACTCTTATTGATTATTATTTACACATTTGAAGTGAAATAGTTTTTCCATGGCCAACTATTATCACACAAAATATGTATTTCACTTTTTAAGTATAGTTATAAAAAAATATTCTTTTACAAATATATAATTTTTAGATCAGAAAAAAATAAGCTTTTCAAAATTGCCATAGCCGCCTATGATTTCCATATAAAAAAATACAAGTTTATCTTATAACGACTAAACTAATAACTGAAAAAAATTGTTAACTACATTATTAAATTCCTCGTAAAAAAGTGCCTGTATAATGTCTTTATTTCAAATTCGTATCTTCTACAATAACGAAGATATAATTTTTTTTAGATTTCGCTAAAATGTCAATTTTTGTCTATAAGTCGAAAACAAAAGACAATAGCGAGATGCGGTTTGAACCAATATTATTTTCTCAAAAAATGAGATTCACTCGTTTTTGGCTAAACATCTTAGTTTCGGAGATTCCCTATTCGGACATCCAAAATGCAGCACCCTGTATATAATAATAAGAGGTTTAGTCAAAAAATGACGGTTCTGTTATTAAAACAGTAAAACGTATTTAAAACAAATAGATATAACCTGGAGTTCTAATGCAAGTTTTGTGACACGCGATAGCAAAAACAAATTTCACACTTGAGTGCAATTAATTATTTCTGGACACATCATAATAAATGCTGAAAAATTTCATTTTCGTGGAATGAAATAATTAAGATGCTTGAAATAACTAGGATGCGAAATGATATCTTTGTTCTTTCTAAAGTTCGAGTACTTGGGCGTTTTAAATTTCCTTCCTGATGAAAAATATTTAATGTTGGAGTTAATTTATGATGAGTTTCAATTCAAGCTAATCAATCTCGTAGCATTAGCGTTTAATTGAGTTGTTTCAGTTTTGGTCAGATTCCACTTTTGAATCAGGAAGAATCATATGCAGGAGTCTGTGACAACTTACGGTAAACTTCCGGATGAGTTTTGAGTCTTAAATCATAATACTGTTACAACACCGACGCAATACGACATGTGAATGACTTTTGAGCTAGTATGACGATGATTTGATTACACAGTTGGGTGCATTTACGGTCAGTGAAGGACACCAAACAGACATCTTCGCTAACGGAATTGTTTTTTTTATATAAAGACGACACGCATTTCGATCTTTGAATGTGTGTAACGTCGTTAACTGTAACACAAATAATTCTTGTTTGAGGAGGAGTCACGTGAATCTCATTGTTCGATTTCGACGTCTTCGAACAATGCGAGGAATGTTGCCGTTTTGATAATAATGACGAGCTGTCGGATGCGAGATTTTCAATTGTGCGACGTGCATGACAATTGACTTCTAGAAACCTTAAGAAATTTATCGATCGGACCAACAAATAAATTTCATCATTTTTATACAGGGTGTTCCGTCTAAACCCCACATTAAAAGTATTGAGAGTTCGAATAATCATATTTGTTTGAAAATTGGTACATAGCCATAATGCCTTAAGTCCTCCTAAATGAATAAAAAGTATGGAACGAAGCGTTTTTCTCGTAAACTAACCACTTTACACAAAAAAAAATAATTAGTGTAGCGTAAAGTCCAATTAAAATGTGACCATTTA